ACACTCCTGACACTCCTGACACTCCTGACACTGCTGACACTCCTGACAGCCCCGACACCCCTGACAGTAACAGAAAATGTCTGTTGAAAAAAAGACAATTATTATAATTTATCAAAAACAGATAAAGTGAAGAAAAAAATTATCTTTACCATAATTAACATCTCCTACTGCTATTTTACAGGTCTCTCTATGAGTCCATATATTTTACCTTCAATATATATTAATTGTTAGAAAATTGAAAATTGACCATGACTGAGTGGGGGTTTCCCTATTGGCCGTTGCTCTTTCAAAATGATTTGGAACAAACATTTTCTTTCAGCGGCGTGTTTACAGCTGCAGTGTTGCCAACTTAGCACATTTGTCCCTGGTTATAAACACTGGGTATAAACCTGGTACATGGCTGGAATGTGTATGGAGCCAACTGGGGGCTTGGGGTGACACCTCTTGTTGCGGGCAGTCACCCAGCGGCTCTTATTGGCTCACAGTCTGCCATAGTTATTTGACTGATAACCTAGATAAACCTAGACCTCTATGGCAGTATTACTGCAACCCATTCTTTCTGCAAATAATTAAGTTGCAAAATGAGGACTTTATTAACTATTCATTCATTTTAAAGACATTTCACCATGTGGGCAGTTATAGATGACAGATGTATGTAAACTTGCCACCTTAAGAACAGTGGTTACATAATAGGTGTGAAATTGGTGTGCTCTGGTACTTAAAGACCTAACACTTCACCCTTAGCTATGATGATGATGATGATGATGATGATGATGATGATGAACATGAGGAGGCTACACTGCTTCCTGTCTGCTCTTAGAGGTGATGACCAATCAGAAGAGACCATTTTGTCAAAAACACCAATTTATCTAACTTGCACGAGCGACCAGATTTCATGTTGTCATCTATCTGTGTTGAAAATCTGCATCTGCTGTGTTTGAACTGTACTTGGTTAATTTGATGCTGATCTGGCACATGTAGTCTTTTATTCTTGACCTTAGGAGTAGTCATGAACATTCATTGAGGCATAGACTGTAAGAGTAAAGGCAACAAAATTCATATTGGAAAGAGATTACTGAAATAATGAACATTTGTGGCGTTGAAGTTGTCACATAATACACTGACAAAACCCCAGACGAATATCTCTTTAAAATATTTTTAGCTGCTGGCTGAAACCTGTCACATGGGAACAGCAGCAGACGAACCCGCCAGCTAAGGACTGAACTGGCTATTGTCAATGAAATAAACTGTATGGAGAACTTGACCTCAAGACTATATATGATCACTATATAAAGCTCTGGAACAAAATAATTAAAGACTATTTATGTGTGATCTTAAGTTGTAACCCATTGTATGTTGTACATCATTAGATGACCCTGTGTTATTTTTCCCACCTCTTTTTTCCTGACAATATCAATAAAAATACATTTGCAGAAGAAAATGGATTGACAAAAAATGTAATCTAAAGCTCTCACCCAAATTTCATGGCCTTTATCATCAGTCAGCTTTTGTCAGCTGGACAAACTCTGCTCACTGGTGAGGATGCTGTGAGACGTGGTTGAAAGCCAAGGCCAAAGTGAGGACGGTAAACTGCCAAAATGCAACAACAACATTTTGATATCTTTACAAATAAGGTGATAAATTAAATGGAGCCTGGCAGAGTGCTCCGTGAAGAAACATAAGATGCTTCACAAGAGCTCAAGTTTTTAATGCAATTATCCAAAATATACAGGTAACGTTTCACAGTCAGAAAATAGGGTTTTGCAAGTTTGTTGCAAGGATGAAACTCAGTTTGGTTTTCTCATACAGATATTTTTGGAAGTAATATTAAAGTAGTTTTAAATTTAAAATTGAAAAATTAGGTCACTTTCCTTCCAATGAAAAAGGACATTATTTTTTTTTTTTTTTAATTTTTTAAAAGTTGTATTTATATAAATTGAGGTATGATACAGTTACTGTACAATATTACTTGTGTCTGTTCTCAGTCTACCTTTAACCTTATTTTAGTATGATTTTGTGTAGTGTGTTAGTATTGTTTTATCAGTTGTAACATTTTTACATATCATTTTGTCTGCACCTTTTTATACCACTGTCAGATCTCCATTTGTAAAATGTTTCCAACCTCATTGGGATGTAAGTAGGTAAAAGAAGTAAATGCCTCTTGAACCCTGAGGAATCCCACACATTTTCTCTTTGGAGACCTTAAACTTATAGAAAATACCACTCTCTCCACATACAGTACTTACAAGTGGATGACTAATTAAAAAGAAAACCTGCATAAATGAGTGGAGAAACATATCAAACGCAAATGCCTCCATATGGATCATAAGAGGTCACTGAATAGTTTAATGAAAATGATGTGAACATACTGCACGCTATGGCTTTTAAAGTCACCCAACTGAACACTTCTGTGAGATCTAGGAGTGATGTGTTCGACAGCCTCTTCACCTCCATCACCACAAGAGAAATTCACTCTCTCTTTATGTTGCTTTTACTTTCATTTGTCACTCATCTGTGTCTGAGACTCACTTTAAAGCCTAGATTTGACTTTTTTTTTTCCATTTTGTTGTTCACTTTCATTTCTTCTCTAAAATTTGAATTGATTGAGTGCGTAATAGGTCAGGCCCCATGAGCAGCAAATCATTAAAAATAGAGGAGACAAAAAAAGTGCACATCATTATAAGCTTCAGATGACTGTGCTGCCATCTAGTGGAAACTGTGGGAACGTTGCTTTGTTTTGGAGACCAAAGAACTCTCTGTAATAATGGAGCATTTCTCACTTCTCCTGCCTCCAACCTGCTATTTTTAGCAGTTGCACACAGGAAATTCCTCCTCTCTGAAGGCTTTAGTGAAATGCCTCCTCTCACGGTCATCTAATTAAAGTTAAGCTCAAAGCGAAACAGCCGGCCCTTGGAAGAACTAAAACAGGCGTCTTATTAGGCAATGTTTAACTTTAATTTCCTCTGGAACAACCAATGTTTTTACAGTATTTACAAAAGGAACATTCATCTACAAAATGCTGAATACGTGTTTTACTTACTTATTTTTCACAATGTGTGGTAGGCTACATTCTTTCTGTACAGCATCACTGTGACATAACTGGATTTAAGAACAACAACACCACAGCAGTGACTGAGTTCATGCCCTTAATTGACATTTGTTAGTGTTTGTTTTGTTTTTATGAAGTTTAAAAGACTTTAAGTTCACATCTGATGCTGGGAAAAGATCAAATACAAGAATTATCACATTACATATTACATTTATTATACTGGTGAATACATTTAAATGATGCATTTAGTCATGGCTATATGACAATATGAGCAGTAAAAGAGGGAGGATGACAAGGCCAAAAGCTTGAGGTTTACTCCATATAATTTCTGTCTACATAATCATACATTTGTTATAAATTTGCACCACTAATGTTCAATATGATTGGTCCTCAATATATATCAAGTAGCTTTAATTTGAAAGGGATTAACACACAAAAAACCTACAGCTAGGTGTTATTGTTCCATCACAGAAGAACTGTAAGGCTGCAGGCAACAATCATTTTCATTATCAATACATCTGACAAATATTTACCATAATACTTGACTGATTGTTTAGAGTGCAAAATGTCAGAAAATAGTGAAAAAAGGTCCATCATCATTCCCTAAAGCCCAAGAGAACATATTGTAATGGCTTGTTTTGTCTGAGCATCAAAAACCAGTGAATGTTTGGCATTTTTACTTAAGAATGACTTAAGAAAATAAATCAATTATCAAAATTGTTGCAAATTAGTTTTCTGTCAATTGACTTATCAATTAATCAACTAATCATTTCTCCTCTAGAGTACTAGTTGGATACTGGGAAATAATGAAACTACCATGTACTGTCGGGGTCAAACCGGCAAAGTTTTGGCACGGGGTTTCCTGGGAGTATGATATATTACGATTAACAGTATAGCAAAACACTATAGCTTTCAAGAAGTAGAATTATGATGAAACGATAAAAAAAGTTCTATACATATATAATGTTTATTAAAGTATCAATAAAGACCATCGAACAGTTTTTTCCCTCATCTAAACATAAAACATAAAACCTGCTGAGCAGCAGAACTGAAGAGTTAACATGTTATTATACAGAGAGGCAGTTTAACAGTAATAGTAACCAATCACACAACTGCAACGTCATGCTTAAAGCAAGCTTTAAATGTGACATGTTGGCATGTTCACTCAGCGCGCTGCAGTGTCAGTCCACAGTTAGTGACACACTGTGAGCACAGTGATGAGGGACACTGTGCTGTTGTGTGAAAGATCAACAAATACTATATGTTGGTTTAAGTAAGGTAGGCCGAAGCCTGAACATTTCACTGTCATCACCAGTCAGACACGCAGGCCTCCATGTTGTGGCTTCGTTTCGAGATGAACAGATGAACCGTCGGACGAGTTTGTTACTGCTTTTATTTGAGAAAGCTACAGCGATAAACCAGCCAGCTGCTTGGAGCGTATCTGTACCTACTCTTGGAATCAGCAGTAATTTTATAACTGCGTTTGTATCAAAGCCTACTCTCCCATAGGAACCTGTAAGAGCCTTTTATGAGCTAAGAAAAACAGTCTGTTTTCAGCTGCATTTTCCAGCTAATCCAAGGTTGTTTTGAAATAATTTGTATAAGGAGAATTTTCTCAAGCCATAGAGGAGCAATTCAGTTTATCAGAAAAATTCTAATTCAATATCACAAACTTTGGAGATACACAGTTTTCACTGGACGAGAAGGAAGGGTGTGAAAAATTGTAATCTGAAAAGTAACTAGTAAATACAGCTGTCAGACAAATGTAGAGTAAAATATAGTCATATTTGTACCTGGAATTAGTACTTGTGTAAATGTATGTGTGTGTGTGTGTGTGTGTGTGTGTGTGTGTGTGTGTGTGTGTGTGTGTGTGTGTGTGTGTGTGTGTGTGTGTGTGTGTGTGTGTGTGTGTGTGTCTGGAACTACCACAGAGGTGTATTGAGGACTTTGGCAGGTGTGTGTCTGTGGACAGATTTTGACATTACGCAAGATACTGATACAAATCTCGACAGATGTGTAGTTGAGATCAAAATGAAGGCCAAGTTTGAAGATGGTTGTGGTCTGACGCATGAGCACTGAGTACTCACGTAATAATGTGGTAATGACTACTGAGCACTCATGGGTCGGAAGGTCAACATGTTGACGCGTGTCACGCTGTGATCACATGGCAAGATGGTGTCTAGTTCTGTTTATTTGTTTCGTTGAATATATTTTTTGAACGCTGATGAAGGGAGACTAACCTGTAGTTTACAATAAAAACAAAACATCAGAGAAAGGTCTGTTTTTATGCTTTACTGTCCTTTTAATCGTCTTGTGACGTGTTCTCAGGGTCCAGTCCCTCAGGTTGGGAACCACTGTCCTATTCAACTATAACCTCTGTTTTGATGACAACAGTCGAATTATTCCTCGAGTAAATATCTGTCTCAGCTCACAGCAGACAAACCAAAGCAACAAAAAGCACAGAACTTGCCAAATACATGTACTAATATCTGCCTGTAAATTGTGTAGTTGCAGGCACCATCCAAACCTCTCCACCAACCATCCATGTTGCTCAGTGTGTGAACACAGGGTTGGTGTTTGGACCACTGTGCATAAACTCTACAGTTTTCTCACACTGCATGTAACCTCTTAGTTCCCTTTAACGTGGCTCCATACACACAACATCCCTTCAGCTGATCATCCACTGACTTGACTGGAAACAATCACACCGACTTCCTCCTCTTGCCAAACACGTTGTTGATGAGTTTGGCCATAGACTTGGAGCCGCTGTAGCGTCGTCGGTCGGCTCTGTACTTCAGGTGATCCATCACCTGTCGGATGAGTTGTGTGAAGAGATTGGCGATGTCCTGGTAGCTCTCGGCCGCCGACACCTCCTGGAAGTGACAGCGGTTCTCCTGAGCCAGGCAGCGGCCCTCGTCCTCACGTACCTCCCGGACGTGGCACAGGTCCTGCTTGTTACCCACCAGACACACAGGAACCTCCGTGTCCCTGAAACACAGACCGGTCAGTGTGGGTGAGGAGGACGTGGATGCTACTCTCAGTTCGAAAGGTTTAAGAGATACTGTACTAACAGTAACTGCTATATGACATCTTCATCAGTATAAGTGTTGTATAGCTTGAAATAAGTGTTGGAAGAAGCAGATACTAAATATATGGCGAGTAAAATTATTAGTAGCAAGAAAAACATCTTTTAACTTAAGATTAAGGAACTATGGAAAAAAACTTAAAGAAGCAAATATAGCACTTAGGCCTTTTCTTTACTTCCTATAGATCCTCATATAATAATAATAACAATAATAATAATAATAACAATAGATGCTCATAATGTCTTTCTATATTAACTTAATACTGTAGGTTATATGCTTTATTACATTATAAACTATATCATATTAATCTTAACTCAGACCTAAACACATCATTATGTCACTTCACTTGAGACACTATTGGTTTAAAGCTCTGGTTGTGGGGGTTCTATATATATTCCTTGCCTTGTAATTTAATTTCTTTCGCATAGGTTCTATTTGTATTTCTATTTGTTTTCATTTTATATACCAAGTATATTTTTCACTTTCACTTTCTCTACATATATGTAGTTATTTCTGAATGGCTAAATTCCCCATGTGGAAACCAATAAAGTTTAATCTTGTCTTAAATTATCTGAAAAATAAAGCAGGAATGCAGAAAGTACCAAAAGCTGCAGTTCCTCTAATGACCACTAGAGTCTAGCTGCAACAGTGAGTCAATCTTCCATGTTCAAATGTCAGACAACAGACAGCAGAAATAATCTTGTTTACAGCCTGGTACAAAAATAGTTGGAGTGGACAGTAGGTGGAGTCAGGCGCTGACAAGATGGTGAGAGTGGAGCAGCTCACTCTGAGCTTTAAAACCACTCTTCAGAAACCTGTGGGTGATGTCGCGGAGGCTACGTCCATCTTTATTTACAGTCTATGACCTTATTCTTTACATTTATTTATCCCTTTTCTCTTGAACTGACTTCAATAATTTCCTTTCCAAGCAATTCTATAATTGTACATTTTATATGCTCCTTATTCCTCTTAAATACTTCTCATGTTCTACCTTCATCTATGAACTGCTTCCAAAACAGGGCAAAACTGTAAGTTTCCTCCTCATGACAAACCTGACCTCCCCTCATGTCTGCAAAGCAGACATTTGACTAAGTGCATGTGATTTACAACCACATAAGCATGAGTGAGTCTAATATTTGCCCTCCTTATCTCCATCGACGTCTGATCACTGATCTACGTTTATACTCACATACTTGTCAGTGACTAAATAAATCTCTTCCCTGAGCGTTATCAGGATATGACAGGCAGCTTGATGGATGTGGTTGGCCCATTTTGCAGCAGACTGAATTTTGATGCCTGTGGGTTTGCAGTGAATCACTCACTCGTCATCATGAATCATTTATCAGTTTGTCAGGGCCAGTCGGGACTCCCAGCATTCCTCAAACTCCAAACTGCATGAGGATCCCTGTTCAGCTTCAAAGAAAGTAGGGCAGCTATACTCTGTTTGGTTCTGTTCTCCTATAGTGTTTACAGCACATCCAGGTAATAGATACCTCCTAACATTTCTTTGCTTTTGAAGTTAAAATCTTGATATTTCAGTCTTGATAATTTGAAGGTTTTAACTGCAACTGAAGAGTACCTTCGCAAACAAAAGAGTTAATAATTAACACTTATGTACATAAACCTTTTTAAAATCCACTGGATAAACTCAAAATGGCGCAAATACCAAACTAAAAACAAGATATTTTCAATTACATTAGATTTTTACTCAACAACAAAGATTAATTCTAAGGGATAATGTCCGATAGAGTTTTGGTCAATACTCCTAGCTGACTTTTAAACACATTTCTAATATTGTTTATACTTTTTAACCCACATATTAATATGTTAAGCCCCATCTGGCAAAAATATAAACCTCAGTAAAGAATACAGTTCATGCTCGGATTCACAGCATCTCAGCTATTCTAAGGCTCTCCAGCTTTTCTGTTCACTGTCTGAATCACCTCATAACAAAATCCCCTCAGTGTGTTGCTTCTGACCCTTTGCAGTTGTCCATGCGCGTCTCCCGAATCTGCCGAAGGATGTTCTTGGCGTTGATGAAGGAGGTGCGGTCGCTGATGTTGTACACAACCACAAAGCCATCCGCCCAGTCCACCGGCTCCTCCAGTATACACCTGGCCTCCGAGCTCTGCCAACGACAACACATGCTTTTATTCTGAAAATCACACTGGCCAGAGTAAATTCAGATTCCACAAATGTGTAGTTTTGTTTTTCTTCTTTTTTTAAGTAGGTACAAACTCATGAACAGGCAGCATTAGTTTCCCGCTGTCTGTAAGCTCCACCAGCCCATTCTTGTCTTCATCCAATACTAACCCTAACCCAAAACAGCCTGACACACTCGCCTTTAGCCAATCACTTGGAAGTTGTCAAACTTTTAAAGTGTTCTCCCTCTCTCTCTCTCTCTCTCTCCCTCTCTCTCTTCCTGTGCTGTCAAATGTCATTCAGTTGTCAGTTTGCCACCATGAGGACTGCGTGACCCACTTCCACTCCTTTTGTTCCTCATCACCACCTCCAGCGTCTTGGCTCCTCTAGGGGAAGTTTCCAACATACTGAACCTAATTCATTGGACTGCTACCCATGGTGATCTACCAGTCCACCAGCTTGCACCTTGGATCCCATGGACGTTTGCACAGACATTCCTGGTGCTGGATTGCCCCCCTGCTCCCTCAAGGATGAATTGTAATGTATTGTACCTGCAAAACTAATTCCCATCATCCTCAGCTGTACTTTGTGAGCTTAAAGCACCAGCAGACTCCACCGAAAGTTCTCACTTCTTATTGGCTGATGCCTCAGACATGGTTCAGTTCAACCACCGTTCGAAATCAGTGTTTGAGGTATATTAAACTGCCAGTAACCATAGGAACTTCTGCTATGTTGCTAAGTTACCAGACAACTGAGAGTGGCCTAACCACGAGTTTAATTGATGAGAAACAGATTTTTGACAAGAAATAATGAGTAATAACAAGCGGACAAAAAAAAATATTAATAATAACAATCAGATAATAATATAATATGACAAGGTTCACTTGTAATGAGCAGACGAGACTAAACTAACCACCAAAATGACAAAACAGAATTTGTAAAGGTAAAACTAGAACTGGTGCCAAAAATAAAATAGAGGAACAGAGGGAATCTGTCTGTGGCCGGCTTTAGTGACCTTGAGCAGAAATAAACAGCGTATGAAGGACAAGAGGCCCAAGGACATGTCTGAGCCTTCAAACAGCAATGCACTGTAAAAACCCACTCATCCCTCTGTCTTTATTGGCTCCATACTTTCTTTATGCAGTCCAGGTCAGGAGGTCAGGACATCCACTCTGTGTTTCTTATGAGAGGGCGAGTTACAGTGAGTTTAACCGACAAAGACAATGACCAGCTCTTGTTCTGCTGAGCCCAGGGGTATTCCAATAAAATACTAACTCTGCAGTAAAAGGCCTCTCAGGTCTTTTGGAGAGGTAAGCAGGTTTGGATGGCTCTTTTCTTCAAAGAGACAGCCACTGGCGTACATCGCCTCGGGATACTCTCATAAACCCTTTGGATTCCCAACTTTGTGCTGTCGGAGTCGTACACGTGCCGTCCCTGTGTAAATATCTGACCATGGTTCAGTCAAGGTCACGGACATGTGCTGCAGCTTCAACCTGGAAACCGGCCCCTGTTTTGTTTTTGTTATGTGAAATCCTTGTAGTTCCAAAACAAGAAATTATTATGTTCCCACTTCAGCTGAATGGATTCCAAATATTCCACCTTACTTTGGCTTTAAAAGCCTTTTTCAGCTTCCGTGGATGAACTGAAAAATAACACTAAAAATAACATGGCCCCCGAGAAGCAGGTTTTCTCTCAACAGTAATATTGCTGTAGGTAAAATAAATATTGTCTGAGGTCTGACCTGTAAATGATGATTATTATAAGTCACACAAATGGCTGGAATATGACATTTAACTTTCACATGGACGACTTGTGTGTACAGATTTCCCATCCGTCTCAGATTCTCATTTCTTTAACCTGTTCCTTCTCAGGGGCGTCCATGTGTTAAGTGCATTTCCACTTCACCTGATGAAATGCAGGAGGAAACCAAGAGTCCCCCTGCAGCTCTTCTTTTCTAATAAAATGCAGAATTAAGTATACACATTGTTAACTGTCCAAAAGCATGGAGGGGTTAGCCATATTAGATTAGTGTCTGAGATGTGCTGTACCTGAGAGCAGGGATCAAAAACCTCCAGGTTCAGCTGCCTGCCATCAATTGACAGTCTTTTATGGTACAGAGAATCTGTGATGAAAAAATAGAACAAAACATTAACAAAACATTGTGTATTCATTGAATATTTGCATCCCATGTGTGTATGTGTGAATTTTAAAGATGTGCTACATTTGTGTTTTGGGAATTTTTAGCATTGTGTCATTGAATTTCGATGAGATACTTTTTACAGCAGTTAGTATATGGAATCAAGCCAACAAGGTATCCTTGTCTCTTAAAGAAATATTAAGCATCAAAAAAGCCTTCTTCCAAGATGACAAACTATTCCTTTAAAGCTGGAGTAAGCAGTAATGTCTTGGCATCAATGGGCAAAAGCTCCATAATCACCTTTCAGCATAATATAATTCAAACGGTGTGAGAGGAAACGAGACGTCTGCACCTCCTGTTTTCAGACTCTGTGTTCAAATCTAGCCAGATGTGTGAAGGTGTGTGTGTACGTCCCTTCAGATGGATATGTGTCAATATCCGCGACGTGTTTCAGAGACGGAGAGAACTTGCTGCCCTTCTCCTATAATATCAAAATGTGTCGTAGATATACCCTGAATGTTGCTATTAGTTTAGCCTTTCGCTAACTGTAGCCAAAGGCTCACGGCTGTGGCTGTGTTGCTTGTGTTGCTTAGTGTTCGTGTATGAAGAGAGCTGCAGGAGGGTGGCTATATCTTCAAACTGTGGCTTTTTTTTTTCTTTTCTTTTTTTTTTCTTTTTGGAGATTTCTGCCAACCCCAGCTTTGAGTCCATGAATGCTGTGGTAAAATGTATGTGATTCAACAGCAACATCCATGGTTTCTGTAGACGAACTCTGTTTCCAGGACCAAAACCAAGCACCCATCACAGCACCATTTCATCAAATCTGGAAGCACTTACTGGTGTTGGAGGCATATTCACCGATGAAGCGCCTGGTCAGGAACCGCACAAGGACAGCTGGAGGAAACAGACGAAATGAAAAACAACAAAATGAATCATGGCATCATTACACTCTCATCCCTCACAGGTGGCAGCGGTTTTGGGGGGGGGGGGGGGGGGGGGGGGGGGGGGGGGTTGCAGCCCTCTTCCAATCCCACAGGCACAGCACAGTGCCAACAGTCTCAGGGACTGGAGAGGTGAAACTGTAGCCGCGCATGAAAGAGGCTGCATGGCTTTGCTGGAAGTTCTGTCTGTGTGCATATTTGGCGAGCTCAACGGTTACATTACATTTCCCCCTCTGCTTCGCCTCCACATATAACAGACTGTCTGGGCCAGGTTTGGTCCCACAGACAATCAGTTTCAAATAAAGGTTTAAGTTTCAAGCGCTGCACATCATGTGGCTGATGGTGGTCGTGGGTCTCTCTGGAGGGGTCATGCAGGGGTTATACTCAGGTTATCAGGACACACAAACATGGATAAGACACAGCGAGTTATCCATGCATGCTAGAAAATGCAAAGGAAACTTAAAGACACAGGAGCAATTCTTTTTTCGTCACGCTAACTGATGTATTTACAGAGCTAAACAACAAGAAACCCACAAGCTCCTCTTTGATGTCATCTTTTTATTGTCTCTTTGTCATTCTTTTATTGCTTTTATACAACATCTATTCTCTCTAATTATCTATTATCTTTTATATTGAAGTATGCTGTATGTCTTCCCTCTTTAACTTTACCTTATTTCTGTCCTGCTTTTGTTTGGCCTGACTGTCCGGCCTTCTGAGCCTCTTACCGATTATTGCTTTTGCTTCGATTGCCAAAACACTTTGTAAACTCTGTTTTTAAAGGTGCTATATAAATAAAGTTTTTATCATCATTATTATTAACATTATTATAAAATTACAAGCATGCATTGAAAGCAACAGGTAGAACAGTGAGTAGCAGAAAAACATTAGATGCACACACACTTGCAGATGCAGCCCTCAGAGGCAAAAGCATCTCCACAGTAACAGCTCTGCTTCACTGCCAGGATGAGAGAATGGAGTCGTCCCATTGTTTTATGAAGCTCTTCCGCAGACAGCGCAGAGCCCATCAGTCTTCACCACCACCACAGACACTGAGCACTGATATATGCAACGAGACCCCAAGCAGCAACACGGGTCCTTTAATCCCCCTCTGTGCCCAGGCTGCATTTTTCACTACAGTTTAACGATGACACAGGAACATGTTTGACTCATTGATTTAAGGTACGGTCACATAAACTGGTGAAAGTCTTGGAAAATATGCCAGTGGCATCATGGGAAGTTGTTCAGACCAAAATACAGTTCTGTTTTACTTGTTACTTCTGTAAACAAAGAAAAGTGGCACCGACTGCCAGCGCACTGAGGAGAGCCAAAGTAAAAGGCTTGATCTAGTTAATTACAACATAAACAAAACCACTGGTGGGGCGTTTCAGCTCCTCTACAGTACAGCTCAGGCTGCTTGATTTAGCCTCTGTATACGTCGCGTTTTCCCTCCTCCAACCTCAAAATCAGTTCCGCGACAGATGAGTCTTCATTTTAACAAAGGCAGGGGTTTGTCCGCAGGCAGAAATAATCTCATTATTTCAGTTAAACTGCAGTGAATGGAGCCAATAAACCTCTCTTCTGGTTATGTAACAAAAAAACCAAAGCCCAGGGAAAAGAGGAGCTTAAGTTTGTTACTACTGATGAGATGTCCAGGCAAGAGAGGAGTCTGCCACTTAGTGAGACCTCGAGATGAGGTTCCTGAAAAAGTGTTAATAAATCAACCTTTTTTCACTTGTGGACATTAGAAATTTTTTTTGTCATTTGGTTCAAAAAAACACAGCCTCATTTTGTCTCTGGTTAAAAGATTCAGGCCTTGTGGGCACGTCGGTGGCTCACCCGGTGTCACATGGGCTTGGTCCCGGATGCAGCGGCCATGGGTTTGGGTCTGACCCGCGGCCCTTTGCTACATGTCGAACGTGAGAATGGTGAGAATAGTGTTTTCCAGACACAGCCCAATATACGAGCGCCACCAACAGGGTTTTGACTGGAAAGTTACCAGTAAAAATCTCTGGAGCTTCTGGGAAACTTCACCACGAGCCTACAGAAGTAAGAACCTTAGAAAATAATTTCAACTATCTTGGTAATCGATTTATCGTTTTAGTCATTTATGAAGTGAAAGTACTGACAAGTTGCTACAGTTTCTCAGGTTCCAGCTTCTCAGATGAGAGACTCCGCTGTCACTCTTTGTCATATTTCACAGTAGCTGAATATTCTTCAGTTTTGGACTTTTAGTCAGACAAAACAAAACATCTGAAGATGTCATCTTGGCCTCTGGGAAGTTGTAACTGACATTTCATAAATCACACGATTAATCAAAATAATAATCAGCAGATTAATTGATCATGACTGTAATTCCTCAATGAATTTAGATTATAGCAAAATAACCACACACCATGACGCCTCATCTGAGCATTAACAAGTCAGAGTCCTCAGTGCTGCTCAAAGTACATTTAGAAAGGTTTCTCTAAAGCGTTCACAATGAGACACTGACTTTGAGCTGCTCTCTCCTCTATTTACATCTGTGGTTCAACATACACCCACTGCTTGTCGATGAAGTCTCTGATTAAACTAAAGCATCTGAAAGTATGTAGGGCAGGATTTTAGAAAACACAGACCTGTGTTGAGGACGGGCTTTGTAAATAACCATATTTCATAGAATTTAATCCTTAGAACAGAGTCTGTTATGACGTCCAAATAGCTTAGAATCACTGATCCATTTAGTTTACATTTAATTAAAGTAATTTCTGAGTCAGGTAGAATTGCTGAATAATTGATTAGCTGATCAGCAGAAAAAATGCCAAACATTCTCTAATTACAGCTTCTCTAATGTGAGGTGTTCCTGCTTTTCTTTGTTTTATAAACTGAATGTTTTTGGGTCCTGGCTGGACAAAATAAGTGACATGTCACTGACCAAATGATCAATCAATTCAACAAGAAAAATAATCTGCAGATTAGACAATGATGAAAATAATTATTGACTGATCTTAATTTCTTCCACATGATTGGAACTAATTATATTTTACATTTTTAATCCACCTCAGATGAGTATGTTATACATCTGAACACTCTGATACAGTACAATCAGGTTTTTAGTTTAAATTAACTCATTTGAACATGTGGATGGAAAACAAACAGGTTAACTGAGGTTTAACACACACAGCTTCCGTCTTCTAACCCGATGAAGTCCAAATACATCATTTGAAACTTATTTGAAAGATTTAGTAAATAATTTACCAAATCTCTAATATACTAGAGGTTTCCTACACTTATAAACTTTTCTTATTCAAACAAATGTATAAAAGTATGAAAATGTTGTACAGTATTTTATAAATAAACTTTCCAAGACAACTAGTCATTTATTGTACATCAAAAATATATGTAACATTTGAAAAACACTGTCATGAGTACTGAATTGTGTACTGAAAAGAAAGAAACCAATAGCCGTGTTAAGCGGCGTCATAAACACAACAGAGATGTTGACAGAAGGTCCACACGTATTCTTGTTTGAAATAAAAGCCACTCACCTGATTTCCCAGCCCCCTGGCTCCCCAGCAGGGCCAGCTTGATGTCGTTCATGACTGTGCTCTGTCAGCTCCTCAGCTGGCTCTCTGTGTTGTGTCTGCTATCTGGGTTAGCGTCTAACACTAAATGCTCCTTACAGTCCAGGCTGGATGGGAGTTCACCCCCCCCCCCCCCCCTCTCCCTCTCCCTCTTCAAAGGGCTGTTTCACTTTTTAAAGCCAGAGGCAGAGGAGAGGAGGGGAAACAAATGCCTCCCCCCTCTTCTGTGTGTGTCTGTGTGCCAAGCGCTCTTTTTCTCTCCCTCACACCTCTCTGGTCTCTGTTTTCTCTCTCTCGCCTGCACCGAACATAGCTCACTCTCCCCACTTTTCCCCCTCAATCCATCTGTTTTCCTTCTTTCTTTCCTCTCTTGTGCCTATATATCTCTTTTTTCTGTCTCTTCCCCCTCCTACAGAAAGGTTACTCAAAGGTCACGGCTGACTAAACCTATTGTGCTGTTCCAGCTTCAACACTGTAACTGTAGTCCAGCTGCCATCTATGGACCTTAGGGTTGTTTTTCATAGTGTCATTTTATGGAAGCTCATTCCTGCCAAGAAAAGAAAAGAAACTGATGAAATGGCAAATGTGAAAGTCCTCATGGTCAGTTACAATCATTATATACTAAGTAAATTTAATGCAACATTCTCAACTTTGCTCATAATTTCCTGAAAAACTTTTCCTCATAATTTCTCTTTCTTCTTCCAGTAATATTCTCTGTTATTAAGTGACTGCAAACAAAAACTTATTTCCTATGTTTCTTTTAAAAAAAAAGAAAAAAAAAAGGAAATTACGTTGTAGGTAAGTGAAAAATAATTCATTAACACTTGTCAATATCCATCAGAGATTCCTACAAAGACTCATGAAAATTCATGACTTTGAAAACGACACAAGTTGGCAAATACTCATAGTGAATGTATGTGCAGAACATTTAATGACAATTTATGCTGTAACTTAATTATGATTATTGTTTCTTTAATCATTATATTCAGACACTTCTCTAAGATTAGGGAAAGATTGTGGTCTTGGTTAGAGGCACAGGGCAGCATGTATTTATATTTACTTCATTAACATTCAACTAAAACCTTTTGCCTAAACCTAAAAATATCCAGCACTCACGCTCCTGCAATTTGCACTAAATTTCAAACATAATTTCCCACAATTACGACTGAATGTGATTATTATTCTGGCAGAAATGGACTTCCATACAATGTGGCTTTTTATCCAGTTCAAATGAAGAAAAACTGCATCTTTATTTCCTCGGCCGGTGCAGTGATTGTTGACCTCTCTGTGATACGATCTGATAACTTCCTGCTGAGCTCAGTGGCGATAATACTCGCGCTTCAAGGAATAGTCATTTCATTGAAATTGGTCGATGCATTTTCATGAAGCGAAGGCAGTGATATGATGGGGAAAAAATGTTGATGACTTTGGTTGCGTACTTTATTAACTGTAGAGTCACAGCTCACCAGGTTGAAGCAATATAGAAAAGTCAAGGCTTTGAGCACATTGTAAAAGCAAAACCATGAGGAGGCCAGCAATAAAAACACTGATTAGAGCATCAGTCATACTCCTGACATCAAACTGAGTCGATTGGGACGAGTAATCCATCTCCTTCAGCCTCAGCCGCCGCACAAAATGTGGCATATACAGCCAATAAATCATCCTGCAGTAGCTTCAATTTCACAGACACTAACGTCAGCCAATGAAATACAAATATTCTTTCGACTAAAACCACATTTTTGTCCCCCCTGACCCCCTCACATGCTTGTTCTGGGCATTTTGGGCCCATTTCCAAACTGGCTTCATTTGATCTTGTATTTGTTTGCGTGCAAAGTCAGTCACCCTCCTCCAAAAGAAAGTCTTAAACTTTACCTCCAACCTCAGAAAGGGCTGTCATGAATTGGCTGCACTTGTCTTGGTGTTAATCATAACACTGTTTTAAGCCTTAATGTTGGGTGGGTTGTTTCAGAATATTTACATAGTTTCTTTATATTTATAATGGTTGGATTGAAAACCTCAAAATTCAGGATTACCACGGCCTGATCACACATGTAAACAAGGCTTTAACAGTTTGGAAATACATTTAAAACACATGTTAGTAAATGAGACCTGTCAATCAATTTTAGAGTAAAAAATGTTTCCAAATCTCCTTTTTTGGAGTTGGTTGTACTCTCTTGTTGACTCTTGTTGGACCTTTTAAATAGTGAAACAAAAGCAGTAACGATGAAATGAAAACAGCCTGACCACATTACTGTATGTGCGTCCAAATCCATTCATAATGCACGGCATGCAGACATGGATGGGCTTTTTGAAATGTTTACCAGATAATACTTTTTCCATTCAGCTATGTTTAGATATCATATATCCTGCAAATCAGCTTCATGCACCAAAATAATTGGTAGCAGATAACTTTACGTTTTGGGAGTTGAGCTGAGGACTGAAATCACCAACATGTCACTGAAATTCTTTGACTCGCTCATCAGAACAAAGGGAAATGTTAAAAAATAGACAGATTAATATTGCATATTGGGAAAATATGCTTGTCCCAATCACGCTTAATCCCAAACCATTAAAGTAAGAATTTTAATCACCCTTGAATGCTGAAACGCTTGATGACTTCAATCAGCTGCAAGTACTTTGGATCAGAAAACATTACCTCCATCAATGCAAAACATTTTAATAAAAGTGCATTTCATCCTCAAAACTTCTCAATCCTGCTGTAACCAGGAAGAACCAGAAACCTGTTTTACTTTCAAGGTGAGAGCACACGGTGGAAGACCCAGCCATCCATAGCAGCTTTTAATCAGGCAGAGAGGGAGAGCCCATGTCTCCTGAGCTGATCAACACGTGGCTGCAGAGAGGCTTTCACATGGGACGACGTCATGTGCCCACAAAACTACACACACAAGAAACACATTATTCTTACCGGCTCCAAACACACACACACACACACACACACACACGCAACTTCAACAACAAATCAACATCAAAGGGCGCCAAAGCACATCAGCAACATCATTACATAAAGTCTGTGCACCAGGAATCTGTCTGGAAGGTTTTCTGTTTATTCTGTGAAATGAGATTTTCTGCCATGTATGACATGAGTAAGTTATGTTGGAGTGGAGATTTCCATATGGCTGTTAGCCAAACAGGAGATATCCTTTCAAAACTAACTGGTGACTGAATGTCCTTGGAATTAGGCAAGCAGCCTAATCTATTCTCCAAAGAGCTTTGGGGAAATGATTTGTATGTTAGTTTAGGTTAGTTAAGTTTAGTTAAGTTTAGTTTACTTTAGTTTAGCCATCTTGGCTTATCTTAATTTAGTTTTGTGTTTTAGTTTCTTGTATAACCTTACTAACCTAACTAATTAGCTTAGCTTAGCTATGAACTTAGTAACATAAACAAAATAATAAAAATGCTCAGTGTGTAATAAAATCAAATATATTGATAAACAAAGTAAACTAGGTGAAGCATGTCTAGCTAATTGTAGCCTAGCTTAATTTGTTTGATTGCTTGGTTTATTGCATCTTAGTTATGGCTTAGTTAAGTTTAGGCAGTAAACTTGACTAAGATGAAACCTATTTGCACTTATTACATTAAGCATTTTTGTATCATTATTTTTGCATAAATGTATAACAGGATTAAGCAAACTCAGGTGAGCATATTTAGTTTAAGCTTAGTTTAGCCATTTTATCTTAGCCTTGTTTAGCTGTTTAGTTCAATATAGTTTAGCCTAATCTTAGTTTGTCTAATGTGACATATAGTACCATATAATGTGTTAAAAATTAAATAAAATAATAAAACAAAAATGACCCGTTGCATTAACACAAAACAAATCTATAAACATGACAAGCAAATTAAATTGGGTGACGCTTATATAGTGTAGTCATTTAGTTTATGGTAGCTAACTTAGCCTGGATATCTCATCTTATCATAACTTTGTTTACCTGGTTACCTTATTTAAGTTAGCCTACATAGTGACTTAAAGTTTAACTTTAGGTTAGTAACTCACTTAGGCTATGTAATGGAAACAAAACAATCCATTAAAAATACTAATAACTAATACTAATTGAAAAAACAATATGATATGTCAACATGATAATCAATGTAAAGCGTTGAAGTTAATTTAGTAATGGATACCCAAATACAAAAATGGTAGGACGCAACATGACTCGACTAATTATGAAGGAGCAACATTTACAGCTAATCAACAAATAATTATCACCTTATTACCATGTATTCACCTAATCTTTACACTGTGTTTTACTGGTACAAAACAGACAGAGGTGCTGTTCTTTCCATTCTGTAAAAAACTTCAGCAGCTGCACATGATGGAAGAAGTGAATAATCACAATTAGGCCTATTTATCTTTTTCAGCAAAGCCAAACAGTAAAAACTTTTGATCTTGCTTCAGGAAATGATGAGATGTGTGGAGAATGTGCTCTTAATTTTGAGTTCCTTCCACAGAAACAACACCACTGGCTCGAGATGGCAGCTATCAATCATTTTGACAGAGGTCTCACTCGGTTTTTGTTCCATAAAACTGGAGTTAATGTGACTTCAGTGTTTAAAAGTGCACCTTTAAATCCAGCCCATGATCATCCCTGACTGTCCTGCACGTTTTGGTTCAGTTGTAGCCACTCATTCCCTTCAGAAATTCAAATAAACATCTTGAACATGTAACTGTACCGATCCATAGTCCTGTGTGTAACAGGCGCAGGCTGGATTGATGAAGTGCAGAATCAGTGGCAGTCCGACTTCTCGTGACACCCTTCATTCTCGTTGTCATGTTTGGCCTCCAAGGCCCTCTCTTCTTTTTCTTCTTCTTCTTCTTCTTCTTCTTCTTCTTCTTCTTCTTCTTCTTCTTCTTCTTCTTCTTCTTCTTCTTCTTCTTCTTCTCCTTCTTCTTCTTCTGGTTTCCCCTCCAAATTTGGGCATTGGAGGAGATGTTTCAACATGTTTCCATAGCTGAGATGTTGAAATTATGAAGTGAAATGACTGATGAATGATGGTGTGTCGGTGGTCTTT